GATTTCTAATTTTTGAATGCGAACGTTTGGCTTCATTTTCTTATAGGTAAGTTTGTGTGGTTCACATAACCTCCCCAATAAATGTCGCTTCCCACAACGCAAACGTATCGGACGAAGTCGATGACGATGAAGACACTTTCCAATTATAATTCATAAATATATAGGAATGTTTGGTGTTTATTTTGTGGTTTAAAATGTGAACGATAAATGTTCATTTATAACAGATTTTTTTAAGAGCCATTAAAAAACGGCCAAGCAACGTTGAAAACAAAGGGTGCGGTGTAGCTTTCTTGTGTGGTGGCCTTACCGCACCTCCAAGTATTGGAAGGTGTCGTGTTCATCTCACGACCGCAATGACACGTCACATATCATAGTGTGCGGTGATAGCCAATCTGATATGAGAAGAACAATAATATGATCATTATTTTATATACGTTATTACTTTCATGGACGGAGCCACATGAGAGCCATGATGGCCCCAGACCCACCCTCAAATTCTCAAAAAAAATTGCTTTTATATTGTTAATTATTTTGAATATACAATTTTGTGCAAATATCAGTATAAAATTTCTTTAGCTCAAGTGGAGGTGTTCTTTGCCTTCAATAAGATACCTATGTTCGAATCTACTTGTGGTCAAATTTTTAAACATAAAGCATTTAATTCCCCTTCTTTATGTCATATCTCCAACTTACAAATTTACCCATTTATTTATAGTTTTATTTTCACAATTTAACCCATCTTTTAATTCTTTAACAAATCAACTTAATAAATTATATATTATGCCCCTTAAATTTAATAAAATTTTATTTTTCTTATTTTAATTAATTTAATTACTTTTTAAGTTTTCCAACTCATTTCTTTAAAGTAATTGTGTTTATAAAATAAAAAATTTATTTAGAGGGACCCAATTTTAGTTTTAGCATAGGGTTTTCAAATTCAACGGTCTCTCTCTCTCTCTCTCTCTATATATATATATATATATATATATATATATATATATATATATATATATATATATATGCGCACACTCACTTTTTTTAACAAATTTACGAGGAACACCCTAAAATTTGTTTTTGGCTTTGCCCCTGATTACTTTACACCAACATTATTACTATGGATGATTTTCTATTTATATTATTCAAAATTACATAATAATAGAAGCATACTCAACGTGCCCAACTACCAAACCAATTCCATCCAAAAACCACGCAAAATTTCTACTACGTACTCAGAAAGGAAATCAGAAAGGAAAGTTTACACAAGGGTCCAATTATTGAGTAGCACCGTATAATGCATTAATAGTAATCGTTGGTTGATTAATCAATCCGAGGGGTGACATCAACGAATTCTGGAGCAATTATGCCGGAAATTTTTAGCTGTGCTATTTGATCTCCCGCTTTAAGTTCAATATGTGAACCCAAGTAATTGTGCATAGTAACGGTAACAGGAGCATCTGTGCAGGGACCAATAAACCCTTCCGGAACTGAAAGGGAAAACTGCAATAAAGTCCCTACATATTGGCCTCTTAATCGATTTAGTCATTATATATTTTTTTTATTCAATTAAGTCCCAAATACCAGTAATCTTATTCAATTTAACCCTTTGACCCGGTCAACAGGTCATCCAACTTTCAAAAATTACATTTTTGGCCTAGATTTTAAAATTTATTATAAAGTTGGTCCAAAATTTACACTTTTGGCCCAGATTTTAAATTTTTTTTACAAATTTGGTCCAAAATTTACCCTTTTTGCCCAAATTTTAGAATTTTATTATGAATTCATCCTAACTTTAGTTTTTTTTACAACTTTTTTTTTTCAAAAAATTGTTTTAATATGTTTTTTCTTTATAAACTCATATTTATACAAAAAAACATATTTTCACATAAAAATCTTATTTTTTTCTACATAAAACTTTTTTTAAAACGTTTTTTGTATATAAAATATGTAGTTATAAAAATAGGTTTGGACTATTTGTATGATATCTCTTAAAAAATCAATTAAGAAACTAAAAGTAACCCTAAATTATAAAAACAGGTTTGGATTATTTGTTCTTTAATCACATTTATATGAAAGTTTAAACTAGTTACATTATATATGAAAGTTTAAAATATATATAATATAATAATATTATATTTTATTCGTAAGAATTTTTTTAAGAGAAAAGTTAAAATCATAACTTTGATATATTTTTTATAACTTTTTAATAAATATATTATCTAAATAAAACATATCCATTCATGACACGTGTCCGATCTAGGTTGTGATTTTTTATTGCCAATCAACCTCTTCTTACTTGGATTATTTATAATCTTGTATTTCATTTCGTTTTTTAATGTCTGTTATGTGGAATACCGGTTGCAATTTATCATCGATAAACATGTTTTTAGGGGAGTGAGAAATGAAAAAAATACAATAGCAACATAAATATATAAAATATTATAACTATCAATAACACAATAGAATACTTTAACTAAAGTTCTAAAGAATTTACACATGAGTTTGGTTAAAAAAATTCCTTGTGAAGCTCAACTCAAGCATTTTTCAGTTCTTTGAGTAATTTTTTTTAACCGAACTCATATGTAAATTCTTTCGAACTTTATTTAAAGTATTCTATTATGTTATTGATAGTTATAATATTTTATATATTTATGTTGCTATTGTATTTTTGGTCACTTCTCACTCCCCAGAAAACATGTTTATCGATAATAAATTGCAACCGATATTTCATATAACAGACATTAAATAATAAAGGAAATACAATATTATAAATAATCCAAATAAGAAAAGGTTGATTGACAATAAAAAATCACAACCTAGATCGGACACGTGCCATAAATGGATATGTTTTATTTAGATAATATATTTATTAAAAAGTTATAAAAAAATATATCAAAGTTATGATTTTAACTTTTTTCTTAAAAAAATTCTTACGAATAAAATATAATATTATTATATTATATATATTTTAAACTTTCATATATAATGTAACGAGTTTAAACTTTCATATAAATGTGATTAAAGAACAAATAATCCAAACCTGTTTTTATAATTTAGGGTTACTTTTAGTTTCTTAATTGATTTTTTAAGAGATATCACACAAATAGTCCAAACCTATTTTTATAACTAGATATTTTATATACAAAAAACCTTTTAAAAAAAGTTTTATGTAGAAAAAAATAAGATTTTTATGTGAAAATATGTTTTTTTTGTATAAATATGAGTTTATAAAGAAAAAACATATTAGAAACAATTTTTTGAGAAAAAAAGTTGTAAAAAAAAAACTAAAGTTAGGATGAATTCATAATAAAATTCTAAAATTTGGGCAAAAAGGGTAATTTTGGACCAAATTTGTAAAAAAATTAAAAGCTGGGCCAAAAGTGTAAATTTTGGACCAAATTTGTAATAAATTTTGAGATCTGGGCCAAAAATGTAATTTTTGAAAGTTGGATGACCTGTTCACCGGGTCAAAGGGTTAAATTGAATACGATTACCGGTATTTGGGACTTAATTGAATAAAAAAAATATATAATGACTAAATCGATTATGATGCCAATATATAGGGACTTTATTGCAGTTGTATATTTTGGAATTGCAGAGAAACCTTCCTAACCTCTTCCATCAATGCTCTGTTGAAAATATGGAAATCAACTTTTATATCATCAACAATGCATAGAAATTATTCTTTCCTCATTCGGAACCAACGTTAGAATATTTCAACATATATTGCATCATTGTTAAAGTAGCCATCCACAAGTTGGTTGTGTCCGACTTTACTATTTTTCCGTAAAGAAGGATTTCTAATTTTTGAATGCGAACGTTTGGCTTCATTTTATTGTAGGTAAGTTTGTGTTGTTCACATAACCTCCCCAATAAATGTCGCTTCCCGCAACGCAAACGTATCGGACGAAGTCGATGACGATGAAGACACTTTCCAATTGTAATTCATAAATATATAGGAGTGTTTGGTGTTTGTTTTGTGGTTTAAAATGTGAAGCATAAATGTTCATTTATAATAGATTTTTTTTAAGAGCCATTAAAAAACGGCCAAGCAACGTTCAAAACAAATGGTGCGGTGTAGCTTTCTTGTGTGGTGGCCTTACCGCACCTCCAAGTATTGGAAGGTGTCGTGTTCATCTCGCGACCGCAATGACACGTCACATATCATAGTGTGCGGTGATAGCCAATCTGATATGAGAAGAACAATAATATGATCATTATTTTATATACGTTATTACTTTCATGGGCGGAACCACATGAGAGCCATGATGGCCCCAAGCCCACCCTCAAATTCTCAAAAAAAATTGCTTTTATATTGTTAATTATTTTGAATAAACAATTTTGTGCAAATATCAGTATAAAATTTCTTTAGCTCAAGTGGAAGTGTTCTTTGCCTTCAATAAGATACCTATGTTCGAATCTACTTGTGGTCAAATTTTTAAACATAAAGCATTTAATTCCCCTTCTTTACGTCATAACTCCAACTTACAAATTTACCAATTTATTTATAGTTTTATTTTCACAATTTAACCCATCTTTTAATTCTTTAACAAATCAGCTTAATAAATTATATACTATGCCCCTTAAATTTAATAAAATTTTATTTTTCTTATTTTAATTAATTTAATTACTTTTTAAGTTTTCCAACTCATTTCTTTAAATTAATTTTGTTTATAAAATAAAAAATTGTATTTAGAGGAACCCAATTTTAGTTTTAGCATAGGGTCTTCAAAGTCAACGGTCTCTCTCTCTCTCTCTCTCTCTATATATATATATATATATATATATAATATATATATATATATATATATATATATATATATATATATATATATATATATATATATATATATGCACGCACACACTTTTTTTAACAAATTTAGGAGGAACACCCTAAAAAAAATTTCTGGCTTCCCCCCGATAACTTTACACCAACATTATCACTATGGATGCTTTTCTATTTATATTATTCAAAAGTACATAATAATAGAAGCATACTCAACGTGCCCAACTACCAAACCAATTCCATCCAAAAACGACGCAAAATTTATACTACGTACTCAGAAAGGAAAGTTTACACAAGGGTCCAATTATTGAGTAGCATCGTATAATGCATTAATAGTAACCGTTGGTTGATTAATCAATCCGAGGGGTGACATCAACGAATTCTGGTGCAATTATGTCGGAAATTTTCAGCTGTGCTATTTGATCTCCTGCTTTAAGTTCAATATGTGAACCCGAGTAATTGTGCATAGTAACGGTAACAGGAGCATCTGTGCAGGGACCAATATACCCTTCCGAAACTGAAATGGATTTCTGGGCTAGATCGGGTATAGGAACTATGTAAAAACAAACCAAACCAATCGTACTTATAAGAACTGCTCAGTAAATAATCTCGCAAATAAAAATAATATAATGCTTACCGATCTGAAAAGATACTCCAAACGGTACAGTGAACCTCAAGTCGGTGGGAACCTTTGTTTTTTGCCGATATGGTACAGAGATCGGCTTTGCACTGGATCAAACAAAATAATTAAAACAACAAAAAATTAAACTATATATATTCAATGCAACCTGTTGTTAGTTATGTTGCTGTATGAATCTTATGATTTGCAACTACAAAAGCAAGTTAGTATCAACTTTGCAACTATGGTCCGACTTAGCCCACTTGGCTAACAAGAGTCTAACTAGGAGGTCCTGGGTTCAATCCCAGACAAATACTAACATGGCCGTTAAAAAAAAAAAAAAAAAAAAATTAACATACGTTGAAAGAATAAATCCAGACGGGAAAACAGCTTCTTCCGACATCCTATTTACAAGCACAAGAGGCGGCACTTGGTCAGTCTTCTTGTCTGCCATGCTGACCTGGTTGTAACCCATCCGCTAATGCGATTAAAACACAAATTTGCATCAAAATTGATTACGTGACACTAATAGCCAATCAGTAGAGTAATGTAACATGTAACATGATCAAACAGCGTAAAAAGTAAAACAGTCAATAAGTGGCAAAAAGTAACACGAATTTCTCGACTGAGATTGTAAAAATCGAACAGCAGAAACAATTAGTAAATGATTTTGTAAATTTATTTTTCCATTTTATCAACACAAATAGGTCCTTACGTGCATCTACATATATCAATTCCAGTAGTTGCAGTTTTATAACAAATATTGTGGTCGTTTGACTTTACAATAACATGGTTAAAAGCATGTAATGCTATATTTGTAAACATCTTTTGCTAATGCCGCTTAAAAGACTGTTAGCAATATATTTTAGAAAAAAAAAAATGGTAAATACAAAATCCGGAGACCGATGGCGTTTTACCGCCACCACATATTCAAAACTGATAGACCAAAAAATAATCAAACAAATGACTAAATCACATTCAGATGGGTATTACACATTAAAACATATTTAATCACTAAATCACAAAGATACAATGATATGGACGTGCCAGGCAAAACGAAACCCTAAAGATATCGAATGACATTGTCCTCCGAAACAGAATATTGGAACAATAAAAAATTTGACTGTGATCAACATTTATATCATAAAAGCAATTCACCCTAATCGAGTCGCTCAACAAAAAAAAAAAAAAAAAATCAAAACTGAAACAACATTGCAGTTCAAACATAAATCATCAACATGTGAAGACATAAACATGATCCACTACATATAAATCAGAAGATTGATGCGCAGTCCCGATCGAAACCCTAAAAATTCACAATAACCTTGATTTATTCACTAAATTGATTCAACTAAATCAGCGCCTACGAGATGTTGGTGATTCTTCCGTGTTCGTAAATGGGAGGGGAGGAACAGATAAATCAAACTTAGGGTATGTGTCTGTGAAAAAGGGCATCTAACGCAACAGAGGTACCGTCCTTTTAGAATTTTTTTCTGCGAATTGATTGGTAGTCTAAAGTAAAAATATTGGTTTTGTAAGATTAGTTATATTCAAAAAAAACTTTGTATACTCCAAAATGAAGGTTTTTTTTTTTTTTTTTTTTTTTTTTTTTTTTTTGGTATTGGTCTTTCGTAAACTTGAAATAATATTTTTGCCCTATTAATTTTTTTCTGTTTTTTATTTTTTTTTTTTTAATTTTTAATACTCTTTTAGTTAAAAAATAAAAATCCGGAGGGATTTCAAGGTTCTTTAAAAAAACTCCATCAAAACCATTGAAGCCCTAAAATCGAAAACAATA